GTTATCCATAAACTAATTTATGTTATTCTTCGTGAATTAAGGAAAACAGTCAAACGTGGGATTATCGATAACAAGTCGAGAAGAAATACTTGTTCAGAATATTGTAAGACAAATATTAGTAACAACAAATAAAATAATAATATCACTTTTTAACGTAAATGTTTTATGAAGATTAATTTTCGTTCTAATTCTTTTCTAAAAATTGATTCTATTATAAGTACACCTACAATACAGCATAGTAATTTAGAATCGTCAATAGCAAACTATACATGAAGTACTCAATGTGTGATCTCGATGAAGATGTCATACAGATTCATAATAGCTATGCAAGTGTAGAATTAAATTTTCTGATTTATCATTTCTATAAATGGAATTGTTTTCTCTTTACTTCAGTACATTATAAAAAATTTCTATAGTGATTTTTTACAACTTTTTGATTCGTTCTTCAAACATTTTAATGAGGCTAATGTAATATGAGCCTAATTTAGATGTAATTTTTGTTAGCCTAATGTGCCTTAACCCATTCGGTTATCGATTTATTAAGAAAATTATTTTCATTATATATATACATATGTCAAATGAACATATCAGAAAATGTTTTGGTGATTAAAAGATTTCATTTTTGGGACTTAAAAAATACAATTACATCTATTGTTGTGGTAGTTGTTAGAACATGAATATTTTATTTCTATTCAGGATTGTGCAGAAACATTTACGAAACATTTTTAAGGTTATCAACTCACCTGCATTAAGTGCGTTTCAATGTGCACATTGGAAAATACTTAACACATGTGTTGTAATTTTCAGTCAGCATAAATGAATTAAAAATTTTATGAATAAATTATAATAAAACTTATGAAAATTCAACTAAAATATCGAATTTTACTCTACATCATTGAATATCCGTACAGGACATAGAATTATCCTACAAATGTTCATGAAATAAAAAGTCATTGACAGTGTTTAGGAAATTTCATGTACAGTTGTAACATTAAATTGTTGAATTTTCAATTTGCTTTTTACAATACATTTATTTATACGCAAAATTCAATTCCCAAAAAAAATTTATATTTTTTCTTTACCAAGTTTGAATGTATCTATCTGCTCATTTTGAAAACTTTGAATAATTAAAAACAAGTAACTGTTATCAACTGAACTCTTAATGTGTCGAACATCCCAACTTTTTCTAAAATTTATAAAAACTGACAAACTTCTACAGGAAAGACTCTTTCAAATTGCTTCTTTGTGCTAAGGGATAGTGTCCCTTAGCTTCCAATTTTTTATTCATAGAATAATATTAGATGTTATTCTCACTTAACCCAACTAAACACTTTTAAAAAGATCTTTTATCCAACCTTAAATAATTACCCTCAACATAAATGGAACAGTTATTTACAAACCAATTTTTCTCATGAAATACGATGAATAAACTAATAAAAATTTTTTGTTTCAAAAAAAACTCCATAGAACTTTTTTTTTAATTCCTAAATTATAATTCTCTTTTATATTTAAACAAAATAACGGTGTGTATAAATGACAGAGAGAAGATCATTTACTGGAAAGGAGTTATCATCCCTTCAAGCACGTAGATAAACATCAAGGAGGTTTATATTTATAATATAGTGAAAGAATAATTAATAGTCATAATGGAATAGAAATGTTTGAAGTGAACCTGTGTCACTGTTGACGTTGTCGAGGGGATGATGAGAGAAATTGTAGCTCCTTTAGATTCCGTCTGACTTGTCCTAATAGAGCTACGTGATTATGCCGAGCAGGAATGAGATCAGGTAGACCGCTCGGGGGTTCTCCTCACTGACTTACAATCGCGTGAATATATCCGGACCCTCAGTGTCGGAACCCGTTCACTCTCACCACAGAAGTTGTCGCCGTTGGGGATCTCTTCTCTCCTCTCGACACATCTACCCCTGTCTCATGTGATATCTTCTACTATCCATCGATCTTTTTTCTTCCAAGCCTACTTATTATGCAGCAATCGCAGACAAGTACGTTTTTCCTACTGGCAATTCACATATACGCTTAGTCACCAGAACGGTGGGTTCGGACCAAAAGCGACGACGACCTCACTCGCATTGTCATGCAAGAATCAAGAGAATGTGGTATCGATTCTATTACTTTTCGTGGTCACACGTTGAATTTATTTTCAAGTCTTTTTTGTGTGAGAATTACATTCAAAGCCAAAAGGGTAAAAACTTGTCAGCATTTTTCGCTATTTTTTTTGTTACCTTTTTTAATTTGTCGACTGTATACCAAAAAAATATTGATAGTACATTGTGTGACAAGGGTGGTAAATAGCTAATTGCACATACTATTTTTTACCATAAATGCGGTAGTAAGACAAGAGCAACGTGGAGGCATGCAAAGGGCGGAGCTTCCTGCAACAAAAAAAATTGAATTTTTTTAATTATTTATCCTCTATGTTGAAGTACTATTTATTTAACACTAATATTTCCCCTTATAAAACGATAAATTTATCTAAACTTAAAGGTCCTTTGAATTTTTAGATAGTATACTGTAAATCAAAGGTGTATTATTTCAACACACTTTGAGCGTGTTCAATGTTAAATTTTTATACACAAACTATAGAACTTTATAGTCATTTCTAACACACTTCAAGGCGTGTTAAAATATATAGTTTGTTTACAAAGTTCAACATTGAACACGTGTTGATAAGTTTACTGCAACACACCTTGAATATACAATGTAATGGTAGAGTGTTTTATGCTATTTTTATGCTGATAGATAGGCTCAGGCAGTATTTGCCACGCGTAATGTCGTGGGAAATCGGCCATTTACCGACCGAAAACCCGTAGGGTATATGGACGTTTTTTCTGCATGCGCGGTAAAAAATTTATTTTAGAGTATCTGAATATCTCGCGGCGAAATAATAGACATGAATTCAAATTAATAACCTTAAAGTTAGCAGGTTTTTCAGTATGATTTCAGTTTTATTTTAAAAATTAAATTCTATTTTGCAACCTGTCCTGAATTGATGCTAAAACATCTACATATTTTCCGATTCGGTAGTAAAAGTTTCTTTTTTTTCATTATTTTTTTGTTTTTTCGAACAGTTACCCATTCAAGTATTTCCCACAATAAATGTTGGTTGATTTTAAAGATACTGAGTGTTGGCCTTCGTACCTCGGGCTAATGTTGAGATAGAAAAATTTCTTGTATTTCATTTGAATGAACTATCGAATTGTTAATATAATAATCGGAATAGTATTAATGACAATAATTATTTTGTGGCGTGTCGGAGAGAAAACAGGAGTATTTAATTAAAAAATTGCTATAAAAGCAATGTATTTAGTCTACAGATTGTGTGATATAACTTTCAAAGAAAGATAGCATCTAGAAGAACCACCTTTGCGTACTATACTAAAAGAGAAAAGAGAACGGAGAAGGAGGTGGGAAGTGGATTGTTAAAGTCAAAATGTACAGGTGCGACTTCAAAACAAAAGGAGGAGATCAATTAACTGACCATATAAATTTTATCCAAATTTTTTTTTGTTTCTCAACCTTTCATTTTTTACATATTTTCAATCTATTAGTATTCACCCAGAATCGACTGTTAGAAAAGAAATAAAAGTATATTTTTTAAAAATTAACCACTAATAAAGAATTTGTGTTAGAAAAAAAAGTTAACCTTAATTACCAGATTAAATTTTTTTAGTCCAAATAAATATAGCTATTAAAAAGGTAGCTTTTGATATGTATCTAAATGTTTGTTTGTTAACATAATTAGTATTAATCCTATTTTTATTATGTATTTATTTTTTCAATTACATCTTTACAGGGTTTTTATAATTTAAAAGTACTTGTAAATTAATCTGCTTAGTAAATAAATTTAATAGTTTTTTTTTTAATTCCTTAAACGAACCGGTATCCTCTGAGAATCACCGTTTACAAGTAACTCTTTCATGGCACACAATTGGCCGACGACAATCTCATCTTCCAGCTTCAAAAGTCGTTGTATCACAATTGGAATCAGGTTTAGGTCCCTGTATCTGTAGCTATATGTATTTATATGTATTTTTTTTCACCAGCGTTCTATTCAGTATCCTCGAGTGGGTATTATCATAATAACTAGTAGCCCAATAAAGCAATGGGGAGTCTCATCGAACACGAGGTTGGGTAGATCTTATAGGAAACAGGTTTTATCTTCACTCACGCCTCTGCTTGTCACGATTTTTGCTGTCGCTTGTCTTTAACCAACAGATAACCCACTTAAAATATATTCAACGTATTATAAACTATGTTTTAGGTTTCCTTACAAAAATTTTTTTCGAGAATTGATGAAATATATTTAATTGTATTTACAAAAATACAGTGTCTTTCAAAAATTTATTTTTTATTTGAGATAACGATTTCAGGTTTATTGCGGTTTATGTTTCTTTTAAATTACGTATTACTATGGGTTTATTTAATAATAACTTTATAAAAAATTTACAAATCTATATTTATACTTAGAAAATTTGTAAAAAGATCAGAGTTATCAAATTAATCGTAATTTTTTGACTATTATGATTGATTCATTGGTCATACTTTAGAAAATAACTTTTATACACGGAGAGAAAAATCATATAATTTTTGTAGAGAAAATTTCAGAAAAATTACCATGCTCTCTTATAATGCGTGCGCGATCGACGACCAAAGTAAAAAGTATTTTACGATCATGTAAATATTATTAAATTGAAACGTAAATATTATCAAATTGAAACATAAAGAGTATTAATCATGGCTTCATAAAAATTGTTGTGCTGGCATGGTAAAATTTAATGTGCTGTATTAGCAAACTTCCTTATCGATTTAGTAAAATTTCTAAGTATGCTTAACAATATTTATATATCAATGTATTAATTTCTCTACAGCTTATTATTTATTTTTGATTCAAAAAAAGGCTGTAACGTAAAAAATTAATAATGTTTTTTTGATTTAGGGAAATTAAGGAATCGCGGTTGAATTTGATAATGATAAAACACTTTTATGAATTATTAAATATATCTTTATTTAAATTAAAACCAATTTTTGAGAATAAATTTCGCACCATTAGATGCTCTTACAAGATTCGTAATCTTAAAGCTAAATAGGTCATCCAAATTTAGTACATCCCACGTATACTGATCGTTGTACAATCGATAACATTCAGTTTTTTCGTAGAGGAATGTACTTATTAATTTTTTAACAATAAGACATACTTTAATATTGCTACAAACTATAATATTATCTACTTTGTAAAAAATAGGAGCATCTTTATGTGGTACCATAATAATGTTTCCAATTTCTATAACATTGCTATAAAAATTAATTTTTTTTATGCAATTGATATAAATTAAATTACTAACAGACGCTGGCAGAAGTCCAGCATCCATTATCTCGATAATATTTTAAAACACTTTTGCCATCAGCTGAATTTAATAAAAGTTGGTATATAGGCTGTAAAAAAAATTTTTCAATATAAATTATTTGTCCTTTGTTCAAACAGTTATTGATCATAAGTTAATGACACTCACGTTGTTGATAATTTCTGGACGTTCAAAATGCCCTTGTAAATCCTGTAAGATAAAACTATCTAAAAATTGAGAAAGAACACAATTGACTAGTAATTGAAAAAAATGACAACGGTTAAAAACACTGGAAAATGACTACTTTACTACAAGAACCATCATCTTTTGATCACTTATAATTAACGAAAGAAAAATTTTTCAATTTTAATAAATAAATCCACTATTTCACTTACACCGTTAACACTTTTGCACTTTACAAAAGTTGAGTTTGAACAAAAACTGATTCGATATTTTTAATTGTTGTCATTTTTTCGACAAGAAAAGGCTTAGAAGTTGTGTTGTGGGAGTTAGACTATTTAGTATGAACTACTTACCATTTTACTGTAAATAAAAAATAATACCAAAATCAGTTAATTATTTAAGAAATGAATAATAGATATTATGAATGTTAAATATTAGTTGCTATTAAAGTTTGTGAAAGATTACTTACGTCGTTACAAAATGACGCACTTTTATGTGTCACTGTATAATGTATCACTCTCTATTGATAACGCAGTCAATTACGCACTGAGGAACAATAAACGTATTCAAACCTGCTTCGAAAAACTTCGAAGATGCCCGATCTTTTCCGACCTTCGATTCTTTCTTATGTTAATAGCAGAATGCACGTTGTTTTAACTTAATAGTAGAATATCTCGAAAACTATGAATCCGAGATCTAGACATAATGCGTACAATTTTTAGAAAATCGCTTTACGAACAAAATGACCCCTTATAGGCTTCTCTACGATTAATAGTTAATGAGATATCATTTTTTTTGTTTAAAATAATTCTCATGCTCAACAGCGTTGATACCTTCTTTCTCTTTCTTTCTTTCTACTATTAGCAGATAGCATTTGAAAAATTATAAGACAGCATGGTAAAATATATTAGTTCGTCTAGGACTCTATGGCAGCTTAAATAGTAATTTTTGTAAGAAAAACAATTAAAAAATATTTTTCTGTCGGGAATGGAACTTTTTACTGTGCTGTTTTACAAATTTTACAAAGCTGAATTTTAAGAAAGAATATTTTATCCTTTAAATTTTCTATGATTAATTATAATTTTTATATTTTTGCCGTACAAAATTGACTATGTTCGGCTTTCACACGTCGATTGTAGTGCTGAGCACAGTAATTTTTCTATGAATTTTCTCTCCATGTAGGTTCATAGATTAGTATGAGGGTAAATTGATTTTTTTCTTTCAACTAAAGATCACTATGTTCAAGTTTGTTAAAAAAATATTGAAAACAATAGATATTATAGAGTTAACAGTAATTTTTCCTTGAATTAAAATATATATAATTCTCACGTCAATAATTTAATAATTCATAGATAGAAAACTAGTAGAATAATAGTTCTTTAAAGAATAAATACATAATTATTTGTCGTGAATAAGTTTATCTATGATTAGTAATATTTTTTGAATGAAATTGTTCTATTAAAAATCAGATAATAATTACCTTCAAGGACTTTACTGAAAAAGAATATAAGAAAAAGTGCGAAAAATAGAGCAATTAATGGATATCGTTAACATTAAGACGATCAGAGAATTACGAAGCATAAATTCCTTGAATCCTTCCCATGTTTCGAGTTGTTTCTCTTCATCCCTCTCAGCATCTCACGGGTGATATATAATTGTAGAGAAGATCGTGAGCTGAGTACTCGTCGACGTCTGGTCGTTTTGCAGACTCACCCTGAGTTGTCTCTAGAGAGCATTTAATCGGGCCAACTAATTGCCCTCCAAGTAATCAGGTTCTGCGGCAACTACTGCAAGGGAAGGATAATAGCGATCGTTCCTATAACACTCAATATTTTTTCATTCACTTCTTTTTTTTCTTTTAAAAGTCTATCACTCGTTCAACGATTCTGATGGAATCTGCACATAGTTTGCTATTAAATATATTAATCGATCTACCACTTATGTGAGCAACTATCAAGCGTGAAATGCGTCAGTAGCAGTTTCAGTGTGTTAAAAGTTCACAGCAGGAATACATCCCGTCTCTGAAGTCATGATCTAATCAGTCATATCAACGTTGATAGATGTCTGTTGAGACTTTATATGCGTCAACTTTGATATAATAGCCAGAGAAAGATTGTAATATGCCCCAGATTATTATGTGATATCTTTTGATTTCATCAAGGCTCATATAAATTTTCTTATTCATCATCGCGATTCAAATTGTTTTTTTTTTTTTTATTTTTCCTTTTCCAACTCCTTTCATGAATAGCGTTCACTTCAATTACTGCCTTAGGTGCTTTCAACGCTCCATCTCACGCCTCATTAAGCAAGCTTCACTCGAGTTGTCTTTATTTGCTAACGTAGTAAATAGGAACAAAAGTGTAATGAGACCTGTTTCGCCCACGAAAATGTTTTCCATTTTTTTCTGCGTTCCTCTTCGCGTGCTGTAATCCAATTAAATAAACTCCGTAAAACTTTTAACGAGGCACTTAAACGACGCACTTTGTTGAAAGACAATTATCACGAATTTATTGAATGTTTGCTGTTCAAAATATTTACAAATGTTTTTTCCCATGTTATAAAAGTAATTTGATGGCAACAAAAAATTTTGACATATTTTTTCTACAACATTTTTTTTATATCAATTTTATTCCTGTACATTCTTACACACCATCCATTCTAACATGAATAAATCCATTCGATAAAGTTAAAATCATAATAAATCATTTTTAATCACTTTTTAATATCATAAAAAAGCTCTTAAATGTTCAGCGGATTCTTATCTGTTGTAAGAAATTCTGAAAAATTCTTCAAACTAAAAGAACCGTCAGGAAATTTTCTACTTTGAATTTTATGTTATTTTAAGTGAATTTTTAAGTATAATAGAATATTATAAATTAATATTCAATATAATGATACAAAAAAGCTTTGAGTAGACTCTGATTCGTTGGAATTCGATAATTTTAAGCGACAATACAGCTGTTCGAAAATCACTTAAATATTCCATATTTTTTCATGATCGCTTAATTTAAAACTCCATCATATGAAAAAAAAATTAATAAATTATGCAATTATTCATCGGAATTTGAGTCGTTCGTCAAGAAAAAGAAGCATTTAAATAAGGAAGTTTTTTTGCAGAGATAATTGTCGTAAATTCCACGGACTAATCTAAATATTTACGAATGCACTGTTTTTGCATATAAAGTCAATGCATGAAATTGAGAACAAAAAGAAGTCTCAACTGTTTGCCGCGAGCTTTAGAACAGTTTTTACAATTAGCCAACGGCGAGCGTTCCATTACACCAGCCAACGGCCAGAAAATGTAATGGGGTCGACAAAAAAAGTGCATCTGCCCGGCGTGTGTTCTCTTCTTTGGCCGATTCACTAGCGTTCTGGCCTAACGGCGACGGGTGTGATTATCGGCAATTACTGAGTGCGTTCAGATCGATGATCGTAGTTTGGTGGAAGAAAGAGTATGAAAGAGCGAGAACGCGTAAAAGATTGCTATTCGAAAGATGGATATTTGTGCAACGCTGCATCTTACCGTAAAAATAATGATGGTTAAAACTTTTTAAGTTCACCAGATCTTATAATAATAGGTCTCATTTTGCCGCTGGTATTTTACTAAGTTTCTATGAGTATTTAAAACGTCTTTGAAGCCATCATTTCACAATAATGACTGGAAATTGAAAAAAAATTGCTGCAACAACTCTAGATTTCTCTCTTAATTGTGGATATAACCATATTTGTATTAAAACAAGTTTTTATGATATACCTTCTCATTTCATAACAATGTTGGATCTTCTTAACGTCCATTAAGGCACTAGGTTTTTGAGTTATTCTCTTAAAATTAATCAAATGTAAATATTTACGGGATTTGCATCTTTAAAAACAAGTATTTTCATGTATTACATCCATTTCGCTGTTAATTATAAAGTGGAATAACATATGTTCTGTTATTTAATAATCATTTTTCATTTAGAACATTAGTGAATTGATGAAATAATATAATCTTTTATCGTAATATTTGCACTAGTGCAATTTTAATATTATATTTCAACGATCTTCATTAATTTAAATTACCACACAGTTTCTTACGTTACACATTTTTTTTTAATCTATCAAATAATGGTTCTTCAACTATTACAGTTGTTTAGTTAATTAAGATTATTGATTGTTGAATCATGATATCATTGAATTTTTTCTTTAATTTTATTATTTAAAATGATTTTTAGTAACATTAAATGCTTGTATAGATTAGATTATCAAGATATTTATATATGTCGACACTTGTTCAGAAACTTTATTGCTACCAGGTGGCGCTTATCAATCAATTTCTCGCAACACTTTTTTAAAGTTAAGAGATATTTATAAATAAAATACATTGTCATTAAAAGAATTTTTAAACTGAAGTCAACTTAAAAAAGTAATTAATTGAAGATCAGTTTTAGACTACTATTAGTGATTGATTCAACGAAATTTTTCATAATTCATGCAGTAAAAATTGCAACGTATATCACTTTAAAAAACGTATAAAATTTTTTACTTACATCTTCTTTTTATGCTTGGCTTTTATCCAAGAGATCTAATGTAATATTTCTGTTGAGATTATAAAAATTCCTTCAAACATAAATCCTTACACGGATGATTCATTGCCTGTAATGCATCGACATTTTCGCCAATTTTGTGGCCGTTGCATGCCAATTTACATAATGGAGTCGAAGTATAAATAACTGAATTGATAACTGTCGTGTCTGATATCAAGTCTCCATATTCCTTTATCCGTTAATAATTTTTTCTGAAGGTTCGATGACATATTAGATGTTTGTTTATAGTAACATTAAGCATTTTAGTTTTTCATTAGGGAAGGATTGACTAATCGTAACTGTGAATGGCCAAGGTAATGGATCTCGACGGACCAGTAGTGTGATAAGGCAATGCTTGGTGAGAGACTCGTTATAGACGAATGTATACATTTCCCATTGGGGATGCGACGAAGAGAAAGAGGAAAGAGAAGAGTCTAATCCTATTGTAGAGGGTATAATTGGATCCGTCCACCCTCTGTCCACTTTGTTCCCTTTCTATATTACTCGCTCGTCGAGGAGTAGCGTAGGACGAGTCCAGTCCACCAACTCGTCTTCTTCCCCCTGGGCATAACTACTTGCGCGCTTTCCGTTGTCTAATCCCGTCTGTCTGTTTCCCCTAACTCACTTAGACAACCTCTCAGTCTAACTTACATCTCTATTCTTCCTTTAGAATAACTTGTTTTTTAAGGTAGGCTTGGCTTTCAAATTGCTGTTGAATTGATTAAAGACACCAAGTTGACATCTCATTCTGTCTAATCGAATTCTTCAATCAATCAAAATAAATATGGTAATTCTCCAAAGAGTAGAACCTTTCGAGATGAAATTGGAAATTTTACAATAAAGATTTGTAAAGTCGTCAATTATTATTATTTTAAAAGTGTTGAAGAATAATTTTGAGAAAGCGTCGAATTTTTGCAAATAACAAAAACATCATCGTTCATCACCTGAACGTTTTCAATTTCATCT